AACCGTCTGCGAAGAAGCCATCAGCATCTTTCCCTGATCCAGATGCAGCGGTTCAAAAACCAGATGCTCCAGCTCCACCGGCTCAGCCCAGTCCAGCACCACCACCGCCACCACCGCCACCACCGCCACCACCACCTCCACCTCCACCACCTCCACCACCTCTACCACCTCCACCTCCACCTCCACCTCCACCTCCACCTGCATTTCCTCCTGCACCTGCACCTGGCGCACCTATGGAACAACCGCAGCAATCAACGCCACCACCGCTTGATAAGCAAGTCCCTCAAGTTGCACAAGTCGCCGCCAGCGGCATGCAAATGGTATGTTGCGAGCATCTTTTACCTCAAATCTTGAGGATTTCGCTTAGGTTCAAAAATGGGTTCAACGGGCGTTGGATATGGGTGTAGATGCGTTAAGGGCAGAATACCGTAGTCTCGCTCGTTATACTTTGCCAGAAATGACTGTAGACGCTTTTAGAGCAAATCAAGAGTTTGGAAGAAATAGGTGGGGAAAGAATAAGAACAGTATTGAAGAATTAATGATTGCTTTATTTCATTTAGATATCAAGATGTGCCGTGCCAAGATCAGAATCGTGTCGTACTCAAATGGCATTGTGCTGCGACTGATTACATCCATGCTAACTTTGTTGGAACCCCTGTATCAGCTAGGCGCTTCATCTTAACACAGGTGCGTTCCACTGCTCTTTTAAGTTATTCCAAAGTAACTATCTGAGAATTAGGGTCCACTTGATGGTACTGTCAATGAGTTTTGGCAAATGGTATTACAGGAAGAAGCTGAGACTATAATTATGTTATGTAACTGTATTGAAACGGTAAGTGGAAGCGAAATGATGTTTGTCGTCCATAATAGCGAACACATAGTAGATTGTTCGAATACTTGACGTGCAAAACTCAAAGAGCAAATTTCGCATATGAGAGTATCGGCGGGAATTGTCGATACAGTGAAATTAGTCGCTCCAAGATTAGAAGTATATTCCGATGACAGACACGAAGTACGACGCCTACCAAGCTGCACCTACGACGCAGAGATATAGCAACTAAATAAAGTGGCCCAAGATGTCCTTTGCAAAAGAAATTTTGATGTAGATCCATAGCT